CTTGGGAGAAAGCCGTTACAAGAACGTGGAGGTAATAGCAGCTTTTGACAGCTTTAAAGCTGTGAAACAAACCTCTTACAGAAGTACGTGAGGGTGAAACGCTTTTTCCCATTTCAGTAAATGCAGGCACGACAGCGATGGGTAAATCAGTTTCTAAAAGAATTACTTTTATAATTTACAGTATGAATTGTAATGTCTGGTCATATTTGATAGCTTGCTAGTTGTCTAAATTAGAAAACATGTAAAGAAACTGTTATGACAGAGTTGGCATCAGATGTTGCATGTTGAGATGGATGATACCGATCTGTATAACATTGTATTTTGGATCACCTTAGCTGCTGAGTCAACAACAGTTTTGTATGTATTCCTGAAGACTCTTCAGTTGCACTGATTTTGCCATAAATAACACATTGTTTGCATTTCATTTTTGCTTGTTCTACATGACGAGTATGGAAAGTATTAATGCTACTGCCTTAAAAATCAGGGTTTGTTTTTCGTTGTGTTTCCACAGGCTTCTTACCTCCCATAACTCCTCCAGAAAAATTCTTTCTTTCTCAGCTGATGTTGGCCCCCCCTAGAGAACTGTTCAAGAAGACTCCTCGGCAGATTGCTTCAATGGATGTGGGGAACATGGCCCAGTCAGTGGATATAAGTGGGCTTCAGCTGGCATTAGCAGGTAAGGAAGACTTGTGGCTGTGGTTCAATTACAAATGGAAATGCTAATTGTAGTCTGGCTATGAGTTACCTGAGAAACACCCTTGTCTGTCCTAAATATGAAAATGGTTGAACTATGCTTTAGGATCTTCAAGCCCACATTTAAGCACATAGAAAAACTTCAAGCAGAGGTTACGCCTTAACTGTTTTATCCTACTTACCAAGCAGCTTTTTAAGCATATATGTCACTGCCTTAAACATGAGAACATCTTGCAAGTATAGGAAGATTTTCATCTGAAGCTGTGTGGTTTTGGGGTTTTTTTGGGGTGATTTTTTTTTTGGTGTATTTTTATCCCTTTTCACCCTCTGCAGTATTTCTGGTATGAGAGAACGTAGCATAATTGTCATGCTGTCACGTACCAGTACTTCAGCTGCACCTGGCAAATTGGCTATTACAATTATATCTTCAGTTTTACAAAATAAAGTCAGGTCTTACAGTATTAACTCAAAAGTGGGAAGGTGGTCTACTTTTACTGGACTGAAAAGAAAAGCAATGTGATGCTTATCCTTTGACAGGAGAAAAGGAGCAGGAACATGATTGTTCTGATCACGTTGACTGATGAGTCACACCTGGAGCTAATCTGAAATAGAAAATATTGTTGGGAACAAGGAGCCAGTTTGGACAGCAAAAAATAGTGGTTTTTTCCTAGGTACGTGCAAATGGACCCGCTTGCTTGAAAACTGACCATCCCATTTCTATATCTGTACGATGTGGTTTACTGCTCTGAGGTCAGGCACTAACTAGGCTTTCTCCGTCCTGCAGTTGTATCTTGGTATTGTCATGTTTTCTGTAGAATCTGACATTGACTTGTTATGCTGTGGTATACTGTCCCTTGTTTGCAGTGTACAAACATCCTCCGGTGTCCTCCTTGGCTACTATTTCCAGACTGTGGGATCTTTTGAAAATGCAAATTGAATTACCCTAACATACTGCCGCAGGGGAGACAAACCCTTCTGGTTCTTGTTCTGTTCATCTTGTCTGTGTTTTCTAGAATACTTTAGTGAATTTAGATTTTGTGAAACTTAAGGTAAGTTGTGATTTTTAGCATAAGGCATATGTGATGCCTTAAAGAAGCCTGGAGTTTTTTCATTTGTTTTTATTTGTTTTCCCCTTGGTAGTTTGCCTTCTGAACAGTTTGTTCTCATTAAAAATGAAACACGTGGAGAACCTCAAAATCGTAGTTGTATGGACGGGTACTCTAGGCCATGCATTTTAATTTGTCCCTTTTTAAAGTAGAAGACACTGATGGTTTAAAGTACAGTACAAAGTCATTAATGGGCCTTTGCAAAATTAAGCCCTTTAAGATGTGCTTTTGTCATTATTTACATAATACAGTAAACATGCATAATTAATTGCTTACAAGCAGTTGTAGGAGTTATGTAACAAAACAAGCTGCAGCTGAAAAAGCTTTACGCTGTCTTTCTCAGGCTTCTTGTTGTAACTCCCTAGAATAGATCTCTGCTTTCTATTCACTTTCTTGAAAGAGAAATCTTTTGCTCATTTTAATATTGTGATGCTTCTTGACTGTCTATTTGTCGTGTTTCAGAAGGGCTGCAAGTTTTTCAGAAGTCTTCAGTGTATTTCTCCTAATGATTCAATATGCAGGATGAAGCTGTGCTACTGACAGTGCATAAATACTTGTATTATTGTGCTTAGATACAATGTTTGAGGTGTTGCCTTTACACCCTTTTCCCCCCACATTTCACAGAATGTAACAGCTGTAAGACTTGGTGGCCCTTCAAAATTGTGGTCCCCGAGACGAATTCAGGGCTATTTAGAGCAGGATGATTTTGACTTGCTTTAGAATATACCTGCAAAATCAACTTAAATAATTTAGAAGCATTAAATTTTTTTTTCAATCAGTGTATCTATCCTAATCCTTTTTTTTGTAAAGGGAGGCAGAAATACTTGGCTTGTCTTCTGCACTTGAGCTCATTGTGACAATTCACTTGCAGCTGTATGGTGGGTTTTCTAGTTTTGATTTTTCTTTTTTTTTTGTTTTTAGGGTTTTCTCCCCCCCAAAAAAGTAGAATGTTGGAATAGAGCGTCTTGGGAATGAGTATTAAAACTTGCTTTGTTCTCTTCTTCTTTGGTCTACAGAGTGTTCGTTCAAGCCTCGGTATCTCCCTATAATTTGATTAGGTTGATCTGGTCTGTTACCGTATCAAAAATGTCACTTTCTCCTAGTTGCAGGGATGGGTCTTCTGCCAAAGTGCTCGTAACTGTTTGTCTGCTAACCCTTATTTGATCTAAGAGTAATTGACCTGTATTAAAGTTAAGTTTGTAATACATTGTAGAGCATTCCTTTAAGAATCAAAGAAAGTTTCTTTTTACCTGTAAAAAGAAAAAAACATAGCTCCGTAAGGGAACCTAAGTGATTTTTTCCAGATTATTTTTTTTGAATTTAAACATCTTAAGTTCAAGATGCTGTATTCTTTCCTGTTACAGCACCGTGTTCTAATTCCTGCTTCTGCTTGCCTGAAACTGTTGATCCAGCCCTAATTCTTGAAGCAGTCAGGGTGAGCTTTTGAGTTTCAATGTATTGTAACTAAGGGCTCGTGGAGGCTTCTAAAATCGGTGAATTGCCGGAATGCATCTTAAACTTTTGTATTTCTAATTAAGCATCATTAGTCATTTGAGATTATGAGGATACAAACAAATCAGTGCCTTACTTTTACCGACTGATGGATTTAAGTTCTAGACTATAAATAAAAAGACCGAAAAAAGACGCCCAGTATCTTCTTCCCGTCCCCCCGCAATAGAACTTCATTTGTTAAATCAACCCTTCTGTTCAGTGGCTAAATGGAAGTACTCACAAGCTGGAGTTTGAAATAGTTTATAAAGTAGAAGACATGTTTTATAAACCAGCTTATTTGGACTTTGACTTTAAAATTGTTTTTTTGAAAATAACTGAAAAGTATGCTAGTTGTTGCCTTTAACAAAAAAACATACCCTGCCGTGCTGCTTCAGTGAGCATATATGCAAACGTTTGCATGATCTGAAATAATTGGATAAAGTAGGACAGAAAGCCAAAAAAGAAATTAGCAATGGTTTGTGCTTTTTTTTGGTGAGCCTTTTGTCACTCACAGTTTCAGCGTCTCTCGTGGATTTGGTTGGAGGCATATGAAATAGTTCATATGCGTGGGAAGCTGGGAAGGGTCAACGTAGTTGCACAAAAAGGAGCAAGCACAGTTTGCTTAGAAGTGATAGGGACAGTACACTAAATCTGACAGCGCTACACCTAATTAGTCAGAAAAAGAAGTGGTGTTTAGTTTCACATGGAACTTTTTCAAGGGATTCTTTGTGCAGTACCAACAATTTTGGACTTCAGATTACTTAATCTGCTGCTTAATGCCCTCTGTGGAGGCAGGGAGGAGCGTACAGGTGGTGTTCTGGTGGTTTTTTTTCTGGTTTTTGTCTGCTGGGGTTTGTTTTGGGTTTTTTTGCCAAAGCAATGGAAAACATGATCTCTCAAATTAATACAGAGAATATAGAAGATCAGCCATTAAGTCTTCAGATAGAGAACAGTGATAGATTGTGATAGAAGAACAGCTAAAAATCTGACAATGCGAGTATTGAGCCCCATAGTCTTCAAGTCTTCAGCTGTAGATACTAAATGTAACATTATTTTTATGTAACTTGTTTATCTTCTGTAATTTGGTCTTTAAAGGGACACTTTCAGGTCCTCTCAGGTTTGCTTTAATGACAATGCATGTAGAATCACATAAGAATTAAACTCCATCTTTTTCCACACAAGCACTTGCCGTAGCTTGACAGCGAATGCAGAAGTAGCTTATGCAATGCCACTTGAATGTGTTGGATAAATGTGAATAGCTGACTTCAGGTCTAGAATGACCATTATAGTTGTGGAGCCCGTAAATGTATCTGTGTAGATTTTTCACTTCCCTGCTCTGAGAAGAAGTGATTGCAAAACTAGATATAACTGATTACATCAGTTACTTACCTTTTCAAAAGCCAAGACTACGTTTCAGATTCATTTCTATTTCTTCTTTATCCTTGCTGCATACCTCTGTCTCTCGCCTGTCAGCTGGCACTCTGAGTACTAGCTGCCTGACAAAGTACTAAATTTCATGTTGATGTTACCTGGTTTTTTTTTAAGCTAGTTCTTCTCTAAAGCTGCTTGTTTCTCACTACTTTTAGTATTCCAGGCATCTCTGTTTCAATTTTATGCTTTAATATTATGGACTGGCCTCTTTCAGAACGTCAGTCTGAGTTGCCAACGCAGAGCAAGGCCAGCTTCCCCAGCATTCTCAGCGATCCTGACCCAGATTCTTCCAACTCCGGTTTTGACAGCTCCGTTGCCTCCCAGATCACGGAAGCCTTAGTGAGTGGACCAAAACCTCCTATAGAAAGTATGTGCATTTTCACATCTTTGTTTCTGTAACTCATGAGGTGCTATGTTGTACTTCTCCAGATGAAATGTAATGTAGTTCAGAAATATTTTCAAGGTATGAAATGGGAATGAAGATGAATGAAACAGCGCAAAACTGTGTCAGGCTGTCTCCAGATCAGAGTCCACAGTGTTCATATTTCCAGACTTAAAAATCTGGAGCCTGTCTTCAAGCTGTTACCTGTGTCATCTGTTGGCTAAAACACTGTGTCTGATGGCCCTCAGATCTCAGTCCCCTACACTAAGATCTGCATTGACTGCTAACACCTTCCAAGGAAGCAGTTACTGTGGAAGGAAAAAAGACCATAGAATCAGTAACTTACTGATCTGAATCAAGAGGAAAAAAAGATTTTTCATCACTAAAAATCAGAAATAAATGTTTTTCTGGGAGGCAAATAAGATTGTAATGCTGTTCACAGTGTTATAATAGCTTCAAGAAATGAGGGCTTTGGGGGTCGTCTTTTTGTACTGGTGTAAAACTGAATACCTGAAGCTTAAAAAACGTTTCACCTTGTTGCCATTTTAGGTCACTTTCGACCAGAGTTTATTCGACCGCCGCCTCCACTCCATATATGTGAGGATGAATTGGCATGGTTAAATCCCATAGAGCCAGATCACACAATTCAGTGGGATAAGTCAATGTGTGTTAAGAACAGCACTGGAGTTGAGATAAAAAGAATCATGGCAAAAGCTTTTAAAAGTCCCTTGACTTCCCCACAGCAAACACAGGTAAGTATCATGCGCTCTTCTGTCTAAAATGATTTTCTAACAAGCTGTCTATTAATTCATGTATTTTAGAAAATTTGGATCGTTTTAATTGATCTGTGTTTGGATTCAGGAAACTCCCAAGGATTTTAAACTGTAAAAACGCAAGAGTTTTGACTTGGGTTTGTATGAATACGGAAGAAATCTTTAAATTTCATAGCATTGACTGGACATAGTTACAGTTGATCAATAAGTGGCACCAATATTTTTCTGCATGAAAAAATTTTCTTATAACAAAGTTGTTCGTGCTTCTGTGGAAGCTTTTGATAAGTAATTATTTCAGAAATGCCAACACCAATTTTTTTTCCCCCTCAATTTGATAGTATTGCCCCTGATTTCAGTGTGCTTTTTTGATAATCATTATTCTATCACTATAAAATATCCTTTATTTGCAGAACTTTTTCTGACAATTTTCTGACAACAATGAACTCAAAGTTGAGGTTTCTTTCTGCTGGACATGCTGGACAGGAAACTAAAGAAGGCTGAAACTTTTCATGTTTTTTTTCCTCCCTTCCTTGCCACCCACTGATGAAAGTCTACTAAATGCCTTATTAAAGGTTTTATGGGCACAGTTGCCTTTACATAAAAATTTTAGTATACCTCCAGTGTCTTTCAATAGAGGTGCCTAAAACTAAAGGGTTGTCATTCTCCTGTAGCTTAGATGTATTATAGCAGTTTCAAGCAGCAATGTGAATAGTTAAGAAAAAAAAAGTGTCTTTTTTTTTTTTCCTTTACAGCTCCTTGGAGAACTGGAAAAGGACCCCAAGCTTGTTTACCATATTGGTCTCACTCCTGCCAAATTGCCAGACCTGGTTGAAAACAATCCTTTAGTAGCTATAGAAATGTTGCTGAAACTGATGCAGTCTAGTCAGATAACAGAGTATTTTTCTGTCTTGGTCAACATGGACATGTCCTTACATTCAATGGAAGTTGTAAATCGGTGAGTACTATCTTAAATCTAAGAAGGTTTCCTTAAGTATGTAAGATAAATAACTGAACAGTTTATTAAGCGATCGTGAGGCTGGCCACAGGGCTGTATTTGGATGCATTCCGAAGACTACCAAAAGTAACAAGAATTGAAGAAATTACTAGTCAGATTACAGTGAAGGAAAAGAATATCAAACTATCATTCCCTTTTCAGTTTCTCTATGCTGTTTGTGTTGTTTTGGTTTTTTAATACTCTTTTTTAATAATAAGACTTAGTGTGCTCTGATTAATCCTGCAGAGGAAGAGAGTGCTGTGGATTTGTTGCTTTCTGCAACTACTGGACTGTCTAAGTCTGTTTCTTTCATAAAGGCTTTACTTGCTTTTCATGTAGTTCCTTATTGGTGGTGCCTGTAGTTAAAGAAAAAACTCTTACTTTAGTCCAGACTAAGTTTGTAAAGTTAGCTGTGGGTTGGTAATAAAGAATTGAGCTTCTCGAACATCTTCAGTGCTAAGTTCAGAGAATGCTGCCAATTTTTAAGTTCCTTTTTACAGCAGTACTATTTTAAAGTATTACTGTAATGTTAACAGCTTCCTATTAGCAGTAGCAAAACTGCAACTTAACAGGAAAAAAACCCACAATTTCCCAGCAGAAAGATGTGATGGTGGAGGCATATATACTACATTTTAATTACTTATAATTCTATATAATAATGAAATATTTTAATCTAAATACTATAATTTTGTACTAACTACTTATAATTTTATATTAATTATTTATAACATACCATATTTTACCACATTAGGTATGGTAAAAAGCACATTTCTTGCACAGGTGCTATGCTAGTTAATCTTTCAGTCCCTGCTCCAAGAATGGAGAGGCTTATTCAAAGTAAACATTGTGTTACTCTTTAATATTAGCAAAGTGTTTCTACTTTGAAATGAATGGGGGAACACATATTGTGTTGTGGATAACTTCAACTGGAGTTGATAATTATTAGAAAATTTTATCAAACTGTTTGATATGTTCAGCTCAAAACAGTATTTAAAATTATTATCACTTAAGGGAGTCTGTCACTGCAATCTATAGTATGCCTAAAGTTTTATTCAGACATCAGGATCCTGGTTAATATATAAATTTCACTAGCAAGTACATGTCCTATGTCCCAGGAAGCTGCAAGTTTAGTTACTGACTTGCAAAATGACCAGCTACTGGATGTGTATGGTTTTGTCACTGTAGTGGCTGTCACTCCCTCTAATGGGTCACAATCCAGTTCTTCCTCATGAAGAATTCACGTTCTTGTCTCATATCTTTAAAAATTAGCCTCATCTCTAGCTGGTCTTCTTTCAACTGAGGTAGCAGTTGTGTTTTACTAGGACATCTGGAAATGTTAATTTTGATCCTTCTTGAGGTATGCTTGTGTGGAAGATAAAAGACTACAATGGGACAAAGGGCAGTTATTGTGAGAATCCTTCACAAAAAATTAACGCCACACAGCTAATCTGCTTAAATGCAACTTGCATTCTTGATGCAACTTAAGTGGACAAAAGGTGGGATTGTTAAATAGCCATCCTGCTTTATGTTCATGCCCTGTCTTTATTGGGAATAACTTCTGCATATAGGTACAACCCATTTTCTTAACAGAATGCTAGCCCCTTCAATAGGAAAACTTCTCAGAAGCTAATCCCCACGAACTGCAAAAGTGCATCTCTCCCACTTACCTTCTTACATTTCTTGGCAATTACTGAATGTGAACTACCAAATCAGCCTTGTTCAGCAGTCTCTTTGCAGCAGAGTTGAATTGCACCTTAAATATCATTTGAGGCAAGAAACGTTCCTGAAATAAATCCCTCCCTACTGGGGCAGACTGACAGCAGTTAGTTCCCTGAAGTTGGGCTAATGATCACAACGTGGAGAAATAGTGGTAAGAAAAGAGCTTTCACTCCTGTCCAGGATAGCTACGCCACCACTCAGGCATGCTGGTTCTCCCACAGCGTAACTACCATAGGAACAACTTTTCTCAAATTGCAAAATGACTGCAAGTGCAAACAGGGAGACACTGATTTTTTAAGTGAAATAAGACAAAACCTTGAAACTGAAATGTCTAAAGCATGCACTGTTTTCCCTTTCCCCCCACCTTTCACTACTTGAGTTAGGACTGTGATTAGAGTTACTTTGGTCAAATTCTGTTGTAACTTTATGGCAGTTCTACATTTAGTGCATGTTGTTATCTTAAGAGAGCGGTATAGCTTTTTCAGTTAAGAAACAGTGGCAGCTCAAATACTTTAGTAGTCAGTATTGTTAAACCACAAATAGGTGTGCTTCGCTGTTAACCCGTAAAAATACACTAATACCATTCTTTGATGCAATAGTTCTCCAATTCTTCTGTAGTAAGAACCTTCTGAGATTATCGTGCATCATTAATCTCTAGTTAACATTTAATCTAGTCATTGTCTCTTTTACTTGAGCTGTAGATAATTCATATTGTTTCAGTTCCTAGGACTAAAATTTGGATCTGAAGGAACTAAGGAAACTGATCTTTTGCTGTAACAAAGGAGTTATTCTGATTGTATACTTAAGAAAGAAGTTCAGCATCTAGATTGAGTACCTGAAATTCAAATATGAATAAGCAAAATTGTATTGCAGTGCTTATTGCAGAAGAATCTTGGTACTTAGACAGCTTGGGGGCTTCATCGTAAATTGGAAACTAGTGTCATTGACTCATTTGTGTAATATATAGCAAATGTTTGTAGGTGTGTCAAATATACTAGAAAACAATCTAACTCACCTTCTGTACTGTGTTAGAATTAAAAAAAAGTTTTGGACTCTTAATGAAGAAATTTAAATGATTAGAAATATGTCTGTCAGAAATCAGGTCTGTATGACACGACTGGGAATAAACTAGTATCACGGGTCTAACTCATTTGTTTTGCAATGGAATCACTACATTTATGGCTTCATAAACCACTGGATATTTTTAATTTGAACAGGCTTACTACTGCAGTTGATCTCCCACCTGAATTTATTCATCTTTATATTTCCAATTGTATCTCCACCTGTGAACAGATTAAAGACAAATATATGCAGGTGAGTACTTTAGTAAATTGGTTAGGAAAAAGGGTCCCATATATTTCTCTGTGTAATATGTGCTGAGATTTTATAAGATAGCATTAAGTTATTCTGTCTTACTGCTTCTTTATTTCAAAGACACATCTTTTTTTCCTAGCACACTATGCAGTTCTTTATAGTGTTCAACAGATGTTTCTTCACCTTTTTACAAGACTTCACAAGTAACTACTGTTCCCTGTTTTTCTGTAGATATAATACACTTGTCCCTGGCAAAACTGCAGTTTTATGTGACTCAGGTCCTTACATGCAAAAGATTTATCTGTCACTCAGTGTGCCTTTTCTTCACCTCCAGTATTGTTGTTTGCCTGCTGCTTAGTTTTAAGCTTCAAGTTTCTTTTTGGTACAAGTGTGCCCACCACTTTCACACCTTTGAGGTGATGTTACAAAACTCCTGTGGAAGTCTTGCCCTTCAATCATCGCTATTACTGACCTACAACAGCTTGCAGATCTCCTCAAAGACCTAAAAACTTTCTATTTTCCGTCTTCCTAACACCATACTCTCCGCTTCCCAAGCCAGTCATACTTCTTCAGTACCAGCATGCAAGTTGTAGCCACTTCAAGGATCTTTACGTCCTCGGGAGGTTTCCACACCTTTGGCACACAAGGTTGCTGACATGCTGTACGAGGTATTTCCTTCTATCCTAAACTGATCTGTTGGTTTCACCAAGTGCCCAGTAGAACTTGTTTTCTTGCATACGTCTTGGTGAAAAACAGTTCCATGTTCAGTTTACCCAAGGCTTTGTGAATCTCTACCAAGTCCTGCCTCAGCTTTTTCTTCTCAATACTAAAGGACTGCATCCTCTTTAGTCTCTTGCAACAAGGCGGTTGTTCCTTTCCCTGAAGCTTTCTTGGTGTCCTTCTCTAGTGCCTTCTCTAGCTCTACTATATCCTTAAGTTGCAGAGACGAAAATTGCGTGCAGTACACAGGATATGGGTACAATGTGGTTTTAGATGGCAGCAAAAACCCCTCTGTCTTGTTCTTGGTACCCTTCCAGATGATGACTAACCACTTGTTATCTTTGGCTGCTGCTCTGGGACTCTGCTTTGGGACTCTGCCAGAGTCTACCCACTCTACCCACGTGGGTAGCTTGATCTGTGACCTGCGGAATAGCTATGCCTATTACATTTGGTAGGAGAATAGGAAAATAGCAGCAGACCTGGGCTGCAGCTGAGAATATGCCCACAGAGTGGGACACTGTGGTCAAAGGGGCTGCTGAGAGCATATAGCAACTGTGTTTCAGACACATGGGACAAAAAAGAACAGAGGGTCAAGGAACACATACTGATGACCAAGTAGTGTGCGAAGCTTGTGAGATCTAAATTTGTTAATACTGCATGTGAGGCCTCGCAGCAACTGAGACACAAGATGTTTTGTTTGAAAAGCACCGTACAAAACCACTCCTATTGGAAGTGAAAAAGGCACAATCCTCAGATTGGGAGTCAGCCAGCATCTTGCATTTGTACTTTTGTTCTGAGTTTCATGTTCCTCAGTTATGACTCTTGTAACTTAATTTGTGTTGCAGAGAAAACATGTGATGCCTTTTGATTGCAGTGAAGGAAATAACTTGTTCAGTTTCTGAATCCTCTTGGTATAGGTAGCAAATTTTGCAGTAGTAAGCTCAGTTCCTGTAAAAAATAGTTGGTAGTTTATTTTCAGTGTCAAATAATCTAAAATACTTTGGACACTTAATCTATCTAGTCCCCTCAGTTCTGTCTGATAAGTCGTTCATGTATGTAGTTGTTTATAGAGAAAGGTTTGGGTTCAACTCTTTCTCACAATGTGAACTATGAGACCACTTTAATGATAAAGTAAGATCTGCTTTTGTCCTTGAAGAAAAATGTACTCTGTATAAAGCAGATGGTTGGTGACTGGATCTCCGTGTGCCAAATTTTAGGTGCCAGTTCCTAGGTTTCCACTTCCTAACTCCCAGCGTGCTCTACAAGGTGTTACCTAAGCAGCCCTTAGGAAGGAGAAACACTTCGGAGATCCCATCTTTTCTCTGGAGCAGGTGGCAAATCACAGCTTACAACCATGGGCTCTGAAGTGTCTTCTTGGATTAGGTGTCCCTGCTACTGTCTTTCCTCCTAAGATACAGCGAGAGGGTCGTGCTAATTCAGTGATAGAGCACCTCCCACAAAGCAAGTTTGGGATCAGTTCTGCTGCTGTCACTTCCCAGCTGGAGTGCCTGGGGAATCATGTGGTGACTGGGGAATTTTGAGATCTGAAGCTTGTTCATTTTTCTTTATGGTGTTATTGTAGAAAATCAGGCTAAGCAAGAGGGGTGACCCTAGTGATGACATCATCTTGGGCTATGATCCCTTCTCTCTGACTTTATTCAGAGATTACATAATAAAGAAATTAAGTACAGTGCATATGTAGATCTGATGCTTCATTTGTGCACAGGATTAATCTTGAAAGCTCCTGTATCCAGAAGTAAAGTACTATAAAGCAGAGGAGTCCATTTTTTAAATACAGTAGCAGTATGGGAGGTAGAAAAGTAAGGGCAGCATGTACAAAGCTTGGGAACGAGATCACTGCTGAAGCTGAACTGCTCCTGGAACGCCTCAGTTGTACTGCTGAGGGCCAACAGTCCTTTAACTGACTTGGTTGCAAACATTTATTTGGATTATGAAACCCTATCTCTTCTGTTTCAGAACCGCCTGGTACGTCTTGTTTGTGTCTTTCTTCAGTCTTTAATCAGAAACAAAATTATTAATGTACAGGACTTGTTTATAGAAGTGCAAGCATTCTGTATTGAGTTCAGTCGGATACGAGAAGCAGCTGGCCTTTTCAGATTGCTGAAGACACTAGACACTGGGGAAAATCCATCAGAGACAAAAACATCAAAATAAAACCACTGTGTCACTGGCAAAAAAAAAAAAAACTGCCAGTGTTCTATACCAATTACTTGTATAATTTAAACTTAAATCACTGGATTAATGATGTAATACACTATAAATAGCGTTTTATGCATTTAAACAATAAATAATGCTTTTTTCTGATACACATGCTTGAGTTTGTGAAATGTGTTAGGCTTTACACTTACGCTGATTTTGACTATGGGTTAAGCTCTGTATGTCATATGCATATCCTGAACTACAGGCTCTAATTTCAGAGGGGATGATACTTGCTATTTCACAGCAAACTGAAGTATTAATCTAGTACTCACTTTGTGTCCAAAAGTCAACTTGTATCAAAGTAAGTAATTCAGTTCTTGTCTGCCCTTTCTTTACTGTGTAAGATGTTTTGGAAGCTGGATATAACTTCTAATGATATATACTGGTTTTGGTGAGTAAGGGAAAGTCTGTCTTGATATCTAGAAAAAGCTAAAGGCTTATCTTTACATGGCAGAAATGATGTGTTGGGTGCTGTAGGCTCAGAGTGGTACTCTCTCTTTTCAAGATCACTGAATTTTCCCAGAATACTGGCCACATACGATCAGTAGTTGAAGTACCACACCTATTTCATCCTTGTAAGAATGTTTCACTGAGGAAAGATGGTCCCATTTCTTCCTTAAAAATCCAAGTCATGAGCCTCTTCTCACTTCAAAAGTTGCATGGGCAGTTGTTCTGTGGCTACCAAAATTAAAATACCCTCTTCCTTCTAAAGCATATAGTCAAGAGTACCATTCAGGTCTTAGATGCCAGGTGTTGGTGAAACTGGGGAAGGAGTCTGCTAAAGTATTATTTTAAGCTGATAGTAGAATAGTTGCTGTTACTTAAGCCCTGAGACTGAAAAGGAAAGGAACTTGAAAAGCTAGCTAGTTCTAATTTAATGCTGCTTGACAAATGAAAGCTGTTTTAAATCTGCATCTGCTGCTCAAAATTTTATGAAGTGCAAGATCATTAATGCAAGGTCAAGGCTGTCTTTTAGGTTTTTCTTTCCAAGTAATTTAAGTTGCTAAATTGCTTGGAATGAAAATACCATTGATCTCTCATCTCATGCAGCATAATCTTTTGGTAAGAAGTCCTGTGAGAAGTGTTCTCCAGGGGTCAGACTTGTATAGCTTCCCAGAGTTAAGATGTATTAGGCCAACTAAAGTAGCATTTATTTAAGGTCTGTTCCAATTCTAGACATTCTTTCTAAAACCCAAGACATTTGCTGTAAGTCATTGTTAGCAGCAACAGTTAACCTAGCTTGTGCACTAAATTTGTACCTTAATGCTTTACATCTACTAAAGTTGAAGTGCAATTTGACTATTTTCTACATATGAGTACCCCTCTTCAAAAACATGGTTAAAAAACCTACTTTATATAGATTTTAGGCTTTTATTTGGAACTTAGTACTACAGCTTATACCAAAGTAATAGGCTCCATCAGAAAAATGATTACTACTGCTTCAAGGCATTGCAATCTACCTTATGATTTACAGAATTACTTTAAAAGAATTTAAGCCTTGCCAAAAAAAGTAGGTTGCTACTGTGGTGCTATAGCAAAAGCCTAGCTGTTCTGCCTCTGTGCAGTAATTGCTTGAGTTGTACTGACATACATAAATCCCCAATCCCTGCATTGTCCTGTAACTAAAAACATTATCAAGAAACAGTCTTACGATTTTTATCACAGGCACTTCTGTAATATATTTCTATACTTGGGAAGTAGGCACAGCCCATTAATTTCAGAGCCCTGAGCATTGATGAAAACATTCAAACTTGTTACTGAATTTGCTGTATGCTTCTGCATTGTTTGCTTGTTAGGAGGGAAGTTTCCTACATTCCCTAGTGTATCGGGTTTACAGGGCAAGGTTGTGGTAGTGGGGGGGCTGCAGAGTGGCCTCTGTGAGGCCAGGGCTGCCCTGTGCCAGACCCAACCAGAAGAAGCTGGCACAGGTGAGCCCCTCAGCCAGGCTGGTGGTGCCTCTGCCACTACACTATGTACCCCATGGAGAGGATCCACATTGAAGCAGTTCTTTAAGAACTGCAGCCCCTGGGAGAGACCCCACCCTGGAGCAGGGAAACGGTCTGAAGAAGGAACAGCAAAGACCAAATGTTACGCACTGCCACCACTCACAGGGAAGGGAGAGGTAGAAGAATCAGGAGTGAAGGAGTAAAGGTGAGCCTAGGAAGACTGGGGGAAAGAAAGATGGTTTTAGTTTTGTCCTTGTTTTTCCACTATCCTACTCTCTTTTTAAATGGCAGTAAATGAAAATCAATCTTCAAGTCTGTTTTGCCTGTGATGGTGACTGTTCATCTTGACAGATGAGTTTTTCCATCTTACTTTCTTCCCCTGGCCTACTGAGGAGGGCAAGTGAGAGCAGCTGGGTGGCCATCTAGCAGCCAGCCAAGGTTAACCCACCACACCCAGGTATTGGTTACATGGGGAAAACTCTACAACATGGAGAAGGGATCTGCCCCTTAGTTACCCAACATGAAGTTAAACTTGTTTTGTGCTGTGCTACTTCAGTGTCTCAGATCCATTTATTTAACTGTAGCAAAGAAAACAAAACCCTCAGGCTTCTCAGCCTTTGCTTTTTAAAAGGTTTGTGTAATTTATTATGGAATTTGAGCTTTTAGCCATTAAGTTACAACAACAATGCATAACTTGACATTCTTACAGTTGTACGTACACAATGGAAAAGACATAGTCCAGTGCTTAATCCAAACAATGCAACCAAGTTAGTACAAGGTTACCATAGAACACAGTAGATTGTGAATAGTAGTTGACAGACTAGCAAGTTCAAATGGTTCTCTGTAGTTATGTTTATAGTAGAAGTAATTGGCTTCAAAGTTTTGGACTTAAGCTTCAGACTAACAAAACAATGGAAACTCAAATTATTTTGCTCTTCTGAATTAAGCAGGATATGCTCATTTAAAAATGCAGTATCATTACCATGTTTCAGATGCTGAAAAGTAGCTCCAGGTCCAATGGAAGTATAGTGGACATTTTTCAGGCAATGCATTCTTCACACAAACACATGCAATTATAGAGACATTCTACTTTTAAAACTTTCTCAAATCAAATTTTGCAATACAGCAGGATATCTGAGGAGAGAGATCAGGACCCATACTGAACAAAAACAAAAGCCTTCAGCTTGATTTGTGCATGTTTAATCTACAATTCCAATTCCCAAATCTTCACATATCACCTATGAGAGAAAAGAACACATCTAGTAAAGATCAGTCTCAAGGACAGAAGACGTTACAATTTTTACAGCCATTCTGGTTAAAAAAAAAAAAAAAAAAATGCTGCTGCCATCTTCCATTTCAGGAATTGTAATTCACCATGGCCCTATTAAAAAACTGCATCTCTTCAATCTACCCCAGGGGAGAGTCTTGCTCTTCCCTCCTCCACCTCAACTCCTCATCCCCTTAGTCCAGCTCTAAAACTCAGTCAATTGCACAGTAAGGATATTGAGTGTCTTAGCTTGTCAAAATACAGCTTTGATAAACTTAATTTTCTGCCACTTAAACTGAGTTAGTTTATCACATACTCCTAATCTGAATGTGAGACAGAGCAAAGTAAATAGAGCAGAAAAGGAAACCAGAAAGGACCACTCTATCTCTCCTTGTAACAGCAAGCTATTAAATTGGTCCAAGCCATTGTGCAAAGTCTCACCCAGCCTGGTGGCTGAAGGGAGACATACAGAAGAGAATGGTCTCTTGTGAAGCTGCCAACACAATTTGATTCACCTAGCAGCCAACACCAAGAACTCCATTCTCTCCAGGTTAACCTAACAAGATACTGCCAGCTGACTCCTCTACTAGATTTCAGTACGTTCTTATTTTCCTCAGTATCTTTGTCCAGCACAGAAACACTGCATTCAATGCCAAGTGTGGAAAATCAAATCAATGAAAACTACACATGCAACCTCTCCACTCAAAAACATACCCAACAAACAAACAAAAAAACCCCCAACAACAAAAAACCAAACCAAAACAACCACAAAAAGCAAACAAAACCCCCCAAAACCCACCTAACCATCACAACAATATCATCATTACTGGCTTGATTCAGGGTGCCTAAAGGCTCTGTTGAACAAGAGTTCCCAGTTTTACAGAACACTTGGGATGTTGATGTGTAACAAAAACATATCTTTCTTACACATTGTGGCAACAACTGAAAAAATATTCTACAAATTCAGAATGCCATTCTTAACCTACTGGTGTATACTTCAAAGTACAGCTGGTATTGCTAACAGTTGTTACATGTCTAGGCTTGTCTAGACAGGAGTCTGCTTTTATGGGGCAGCTAAATAATCAGCCCAACCTGTTGTGTCCTATCTGTTACCATGATAATGTAAAACCAACACCTTTCACTTCTGATCGAGTTCATCAAAACCTGCAAGTGTAGATACTGCCTCTGCCTCAGACAACCACAGGGCATAGGAAGTGGGGTAACCATCGCTACACACCTGCTGGGCTCCTCTCTGCACAACTACTACTGCCTAATATTAGAGAAAGCTTAGCAGGCCAGGCAGAAAACCAGGACAACCACTCCTGAACTAAGAAGTGATTAAAAAAAAAAAAAACACACCAGTCTTTGCATGTTTGACAAAGTTGTTGCAATGGTGTTTCTCTGTGCCATTTACACCCTGGCACAGGACTGGCATTCCCAAAGTGTAACAGCCCAGCTTTGGCAGCAAAATACCAGTGCCCAATTTATTAAGTCAGCATGGATTAAAAGCATTCTCACTGTAGTTAAATTATCCTACAACTCCTCTGGCATACCTCCAGAATCTAGCACTAATTACTGGCAACAGGTTACTGGACTACATTCACATACTTTAGGGGCAGTGAGGGGCAGGGGGAAGGAGTTACTGCTATCTAATCAAACTTCGCTAGTACGTACAAAGAATCTCCTCCAAGCATTGCTTAGAGCTAAAGAAGAATCCAGTCTACGGGTATTTAGTAAAAGAAAATCCAAATTTTCTAGTTAAATTGGTACTGCAGGTAATTAAACTCACTACTAACATGCATTTAGAACTGAAGTGTCTACAGCTCATTTTTGCTTGCTATCAAGTCTGAAAGCTGAAGCTAGTTTAAACAGTTATTTACTATCAAATTTATTCTCCAATTTAGCATTTGTAGACTATTATTAATAAAATAAGAATTCTGAACAAAGAGGGCCTCTAGTCTCACTTTAAACACTAGCCCATTTTGACATGTTCATAGCTCCTTTTTAAAGTCACTTGAACTTTACAAGTTTTCTCCCCAACAGTAACACCAGAACTAACGAAGCCCATACCAATGAACATGATACCAGCACAACTCATTCTACAACAACAACATCCCTAGTCCTGGCTAGGGATTTTCCCCAACTGATTTATTCAACATCGCCACAGGGGGGCTGTCCACTTCACCTGGGCACTGTGCTTTAGCTTTGTATAATCATGCCACATGAACACCTCTAGTAAGAAACCCTCTGCCTGATTTCAGCAAAATCTGACAAAGAGATAGAGGTCTCAGACAAGTTCCTGCATGTTTTATGAAAAACGCACAGCTAGAACAGAGAGAGATTGGGCCAGCAGGGGCCAGAAGGAACCCACAACACACACAGCATCAGCTCCCACCTTAGGCAGGACACAGCCTACGCAGAAGAGGGAGATTAAAGATTCTCCAAATGGTAGGGAAGGGAGTCACAAGGCACCTATCCTGCAAAAACATTCATAGCAGGGAACGACTCATTAGTTCTACCCATCACATAAAATTTTGGTAAAGTGCTAGAAACTAGAAACAGCAGTTTGAGCCAATATAATAGGTCCAGATCAGCAAAGTCTGGGAACCTGTATTTACCACCTATAGCTGTTTACACCCTTTTACTCTAAAAGTAATGGATTTGAGTTATAACCGTAGGTGATAAGCTTCACGTTTCTAATCCTCTCTTGCTACTGTTTTAAGCTCCATAGATTGTCTCTTTCCTGTCCTGTGCTTTTTAACCTACTGCTTTTTGCTAATGCGTGTCAGCTTTTTGACTGAGGTCAGACTAATGGTTCGCTTCGGAAGATTTTTGTCATCGTGCTTCCAAGGAGAGCAAACTGCTTGCTGGAGGCACTGCAATTCGGCCTTTTATTGTCATCATTCCTCAGCAGCACAGCTGGCCTTACGAGACCTAACTATATCGAAGATGAACTATGCGCAAACCAATTTGACTGAAACGGCTGTAACTGTGCTTGTGAAAGGATGAAACGTAACCGGTATAGTGCCAGCATCAGAAACATACTCCAGGTATCTTCATACTTGGATTTTTTTTTTAAGTCAGCAGTATTACTTACACTTCAGATTTTATAAGCATGCTTTTCAATTTGCAGGTTCTTTAGCTTTCCTTCCAGCTTTCTGCCAGATCTCAGCTTTGATTCTTAAGAAAAGCTTTTGGTTTTATAGTATTACATAAAAGCTGAAGTACTTACCATGTTTCTCCCCTCCAGCATGAATATTGTGCTGCAGGTATCAGCAAGACACAATCCACAGACTGACGAGACTTCTCTTTTGGTTCCTCCTTGAGCTAGAGTTTAAACCCTCTCAACATTTACTACATCAATGTTCACTTTTGTGTTAAGGAAGAGGGAGAAGACTTAGATTTTAATATTGAAGAGATCGTTAAAAAGGCAGTTCTGGAAATGTTGATAAGCTTCTTTTGGAGACATAAATGTCCCTATACACTGTTTGGTTTAGTTGTGGGTTGTTTTTTTATTTGTTCAGTTTTGGAGATGGTTGGTCAGTCATACTCCATTCTCATGTGCTTCTTGTAAGATAAAGGCATCACAAAAACTTGCACCTGCTGGTGACATCAGAACTACAACCTGACAATTTTCCAGTAAACCTAAAAGTTACACTCCTACAGGGAAGAGGCAGATTTATTTTTTTTTTTAAAGTAGGCATTAATAGGAGGATTTTGAAGGAAATTTAGGGTGAAACATCTGCTCTGCAAAGTAGAAGTTCAGATTATATTTCCCCAGCTGAAACCTCTGTCATTTCTGGAACATTCATTCTAAAATTAAAAAAAGTTATTGCTTCTATTGAAGCTCAATATAAGTTAGAAAAAGAATTGCATATTTTCTTAAAAACATTCCAAATATACATTTTAAAAACAAAATGCACTCTAAAACAGATGTCTAGTAAAAGACACTGTTTTAAGCAACCTGTAGTAAGAGCTTTACAAAAGAAAATTGAGGAATGTAGCATATTATTTATAACATGACAATGCTAAAATCCTAAACAATTCACTTAACACTCTTAACTAGTGTTTTAAATATACATATTTCTTTACAAAACAGTTTAGCAATTCCTTATACCACTTACAGTATATAAATATTTGAATAAGAGGTCATAATGGGAGATGCCAGGGTTTATATTTACTCTCAGATGCTTCAGGTTTCTTAAAGTGTTTTACTATAAGGCACAATACTGCTAATCTAAAAGAAAGGAATAAAAGCTAACGGCAAATCCAGTCAAAACTCCTAAGGTGGAATATCCAAGAGAAGAATTCCAGCATCTCTATGCAAAGGAAAAGAAAAAACAAAACAAAACCAAACTTTGTAGATCCTAAGAAACAGTTTCAATTTGTACATAACGAAGTGGGATAGGATGGGAGCAGGAGTAAGAAGGAATTAAGTAAATTCTTATAAATAGACTAATAAATATATTTTAGCCATAATTAGCCCTTTACCTCTGTTCTACTGAGTTAAAGATTGAAAGAGGTAACCAGTGTGCATATACCTAAATAAGTCTACATGCTCAGCACGTGAAGACCACCTAGCACAACCTATTACTGCCAAATTCAGTATAAAAGCTAGCAAGATGGAGAAAGTCTCCTTTTCTCTCAGCATCCACTCCGAGCAGAACACATTACAAGATCAAATTAGTATTTGTTACATGTAAGGAAAGTTGCAACTAGCAATTTTTTCATCACAAAAAAGGATATGCAACATATCCGTGAAGTTATTTGATTCCTTCAAGGTTAGATTATGTCTTTTCTAAGAATATACATTTCCAATTACAACAGATCAGAGCTTTCAGAACATTTTAATAGTTGTAGTCTTGTAAGTGTTCTCCATGTGTACATACTGAATGTAAATAGTGCATCCAAAATATTTATCTGTTAGACATTCTACATTGTTTTCACTGCCTAGTCTTCATCTTTGTTACAGCCCTCTGGAACACAATGACATTGTAACAATGCTTACAGAAAAAGGGTTATTGCATCTTTTTTTAGGATGAGACATCCAGAGGAGATTTTATAAAATCCTCCTGTGTACAAAATTCTTAGTTATTAGCCCTTTTGGAACACCAGCTAGAAAAGTTTGAAAGGTAAAATAATTTACATTGTTATTTTTTCTGTTAACTAGACAAAAGTCCATACTAATTAAATAAAAAATAATAGTTCTTCAACAGTCTATTCAAGATATCTTCCATGAAGCAGTTCAGTGGGAATTTCCATTAGATAGATGTTCTCCATGCCGGTTATTACTGACACCCACATCTAGAAGCCAGGAATTAGAAGAAAAATTTTTTGTTGATTTACCATTTTAATACATTTTATCTGTTACATTAATCCAAACTCCGGCAACAAATTTTATATTCATATATACCTAAGGTTCTCAAGATTCTACGTGTACGTAACCCTCCTAAGACACTGTTTACATCTCTTCTTTCCCCCCTCTCAAGACCAATTTTCTCCAGCTCGATAGAATTCTCTCAAAATCTACCTGCTTGTATTTTCTGAACATCAGTAAAGTGACACCACTTAGTCTGGTCCACAGTGCAATACTAACACTACTAACATCACTTAGAGAGCACCTTCTTCTAATACAATGAATGGCGTTAAGGATTGTCAAGTGATAAACCAAATTATTACTTACCAAGTAATGCTGTGGTTTCACCCGCGTCCTCTTTTAAACTGGTACATTGCAATACAGATTCATTAGTGGAGGAAGCTGACAATTCGCTTACTTCATTTCTGTCATCATCTTGTAGAGCAATACTCAGACTTCCAACTGAAACACTGCCACTTATTGATTCGGGTATTGGAACTTCAAGTACATCTTCAGGGTCCCCCTTTAAAATTAAACATATTTAACTGACACTTTTGTCTACCATTAGGCATCAACATTCCTCCATGTTACCACTTTGTAACCTCACCTTATTGGAAAAAAGACCTTTTTTGGCCTTTTATATGCACTCATGGGTACAGTCTTGAACAGTGTCTACTTTCAATGTTATTGTCTGACTGCAAAGAAACAAAGCCAAGCAAAAGAAAAGCCACTTTTTCAAAGCCACTCCAAAGCCAAGAGCAGCAACGGCAGGAGTCAACCCAGCCAGACTTTTGGATGGAATATTTCAACATTGTAGCAACAGTATTGCTGCAGTCTGGTTAGGAGCAGGCTCAGCACATACAAGGTCTTCGCTGAGCAAACCTATTGATCCTGTATGAGTTTGTGGAAGCCGCTGTTTTTCATGATAGAGTTGGGCAAGCTTAGACTTTTTTTTTTACTGGGGTGAGCAAACATTTGACATTGGAACAAACTTCCTCCTCCTCTACCTCCAGCCTAACTTTAAGTCTGTTCCAAAACCACAAATATGCTGGCTTGTCACTTTGCAGGAATATAACATCCGCAGCACAGGCAAAGGAATTTATTTCACCTATTGTATAGCATGAGCTATTTCTGATCCATTCTGAAAGTTAATTAGAAGTCCTACATGCACAATTCTGTTCCTAAAATTAAACAGAATACCTTCATTATGCTATTGCCATTGATATACTGACATTATTTATACATAAGCAAGTATACTGCAGTACAAGTAACTATTCTGTGGGCTTCATGAGTATTTCTCCCCTCCTCAAACAATTAGCAAAGGCCCATCTTGAGATTTAAGAAATTCTAGGCTGATCCTTTCTTTAGCACCAGAGCAGCATATTTTAAAATGTACTGAATTTTAATAAGCTATAGAACTGCCACCATTGAACACAAGTTTAGACACATGTGATACTAATCTCTAGGTATGTGGGTGGGGGGCATTAATGATTTTGGTTTCCAAAACTTAGGCAGTTAAATAAGCACTAAAACTGTAAGATTCAACAATGCTCTACATCAGTCAGACATGTTGAACTGCAGTTCTTTTCTTGTAAGAAATAGCATAATGCAGAATTAGACCGCTGAAGTCCGCTCTTTACAAAACAAAAGCCAGGTAAGAGGACGCAGTGCCTTCTTTCTGCTTTGAGCCTTTAAAAATTTTGAAGCACCTGAAGTATTTGTTTTCCATAAAACTGCATTGAGTCTTCAGCCTCTTTGCAGAAGGTTTAGTAGATTTCTACAATAAGGCTTTCTTTTCTGCACATTCTTTTCTGCAATCATGTCACTCAGCAAGCACGCTGCTGAAAGAAGCTGCCTTGCTCTTTGCACTTTTTTCTCCTCATATCAGTAAAAAATTCACACAATCACTCTACAAACTAGATTGGGCAACCTGGATTAGGCTGAAAACTAAGCTAGAAAAAAAAATACTGAATGATTTCCCACATTACCAGCTTCAGTGGGACTTGAATGATTGATGCATAAGCAAGACACATTTCCCCCGTTCCATTAGAAAAAAGAACTGGACCTCTGTATTTAATATAATCCCATTCAACCTGCTTTTCAACATACATTTTGCCTAGCAGAAGTGTTACTCCTCCTGGTTAGGCTTGGTATCGGCATCCTCTGCAACAGCATGAATTCAGGGAATAAAAGTGTTCTGAAGGTTCTAGTATTTCAGTTTTCAGACTGTATACAAAAGGATATATCCTTCTGCATATAACACAAGTTACATCAACTCCAAGATTTGAAAGTGAGCAAAAAAATAAGCTGCTAACATAACAATATTACAGTGGTAATAGCTATTTCACATGACAAAAAGATTGCAACTCTTGGGTAAAGTCTGATTTAATACACAGAAGCACCACAATCCGGTATCTATATTACATAGCAAGATTGTTGTCACCTTTGACAAAACAAAAAAGTAATTCATAAAAGTCTTCCATAGATCTGCTAAGTCTTTGCAACGAAATAGGAAGAAAGCTAGTCAAAACGCAGACCTAGTCTATGAAAGGAAGATCCCTAAAACCAAGGAACACCTCTATTTTCTGAAGATTTCTGTAGATCAGTAGAAGAGAAGTACATTCATGCCTATGGTATTTTAGTGGAACTCAAGACTATTTATCAACAGTGACCAAGTAACCTACCGCATGTGTCTTCATGTCTCTTTTCTGGTGCTGTCAGAAAGAAATGAGAGCACATCATTTTCTCTACTTAACCAATTTCTGGTGAATGTCTTTAGGAAGGTTCTAAGTACTGGCTCATTTACAGGGATAAAACGCTGGGCATATGTGGAAGTACACAAACACTCAAGATCAAAAAACTATAGTTTCTTCCTTTGAATTGCAGTTCTCAACAAGATCAAATATATACTCTAGATCTACTGAATTAAGTTATATTTTTGCAGCTTGGGCAAACTGCCTCACTGCTGCTTCAACCTCCTTACTATCATCAGCTGGAGATAGAAAAAGTTGGTTATCACAGAAGAGTACACAGAGGATTTATAAGCTGCTTGATACACTGTTTAAGCTTTTACCCATAAAATTCCCTTATTTTTCTTGTTCTCACTCAATTACTCTTGCATCTTTGCCCAGCTCCTTCAGTCTCGTCAAGTAACAACTGTTCTCATTCTGAACAGTTACATGAAGTCTTGCCTCCCGCACTGTACTTCTACCTTGAAGATTAAAGTAAGTGTGCAACATACCCAGTATCCCAAAGCTTTGATAACATCTAGTTTACACATTGGACAAGTTCGGTGGTCCAAAAGCCAAGGGTCAATGCACGTTCTATGGAAGATGTGCCTAAAGAAAACAAATGCCTTTTAGTACTTATCATGAAAACCACACACTATTCCGTCAAACGATGTGCAAGTTACTACATTAAAAAATAAACCCACTCCTTCATAACCTTGACAATTAGGTACTGCTTGATTTACTAGGACAGACAGTTCTGGAAGCATCTTCTTTCATGCTAGCTTTCTGAAAAAAAGAGACGTTACTAACCACAAGGACACCACAGTTCAACAGTGTACAGTTCTAACTTAATACTAAGAAAGCGCTACTTCACTCCTATACTTCTCCCAATTGCTCCTTTTTCCTGCATAGATATGAAGTGCTACACGGTCTCCCAGTGCCCTTCAACATGTAACAGTCCATACAAATGGCACAGCTTCAGCTCTGCCACCAGAGTTTCAGAAGAATTTCCAGAAGGCTCATCACATTTCTTAGGGAAAACATGCTAAAGAAGAAAGAGTAATTATGGCAACTTACTTGCATGGCAGAATTCGGACAGTGTCTTTTAGTTTATAGTTCTCAATGCACACAGCACAGTTTTCCACATCAACATCTAAACCCTAAAGATGACAACACATTTAAATGCATTACATCCGTATTTCATTACAGAACAAGCTTTGTGTAATAGCTGGCTTCTCAGAATGTAAAATGTATAAAATGGTTTAGCAAATAAAAACTTCTCCATCATTTAATTCAAGATTTCATTAAGAGGTGATTTGATCAAGTGACACCAAATATTAAAAGCAGCCAAACTCGGATTTCCTAATTTAAATAGCGATACATGGTACCTTAAGTAATTTGTTAAGTCTCAAACATTAGCTTTGCTCATGGGAACACAGTAAAATTTTAGTTTAAAGTAACTATAAAACGAAGAAATTTTAAGACAGGTCAGCTTAAATGAAAGTGCACAATCTAATTCTTAACTGATGGTCCCAAAGACTTGCAAGTGCTTAAGTAGGACAAGATTCTTGGGGTTGAATACTGCAAACCCCTTCTTCCCCACTTACTTTCTTTTTTCTACCGCATCCTAGCAGATATCCCTCAGTAGCTAGAAGAGAACTGAAGTATGCAATTTGGGATGGTTTTTAAAACTCCTCTCCGAGCTCACACCAGACAGACATTCAAAACACACTATTTCCCCACTTCAGTTTGTTTCTTTCTAAGGGTTAAATACCCTTCCTAACAGGTCTTACTGCCTTCTTGAAGCCATGCTTATAGTTGCAGTGCAAATATGATGGATATCTCCAGATACAAGAGAAATAATTCAGTGTTAGTTGGGTTGTATAAAACATAAGTATTAGAAGAACAGACAGGGGGCCAATTTCTTCCCTTTCATCCCCCACAAAGTATTTTGTGTTTACTGCTTACTGAAGCACTTCAATTTCATTACCACAAACACTCCAATGAATCAGTACTGCAAGCAAACTTTCAAGTTCAAGGCAAGTTTCTCCCTCCTTTGCACGCTATCAATTTACATAATTAATGCCTTAAATTCCCAAGTAAGACAAATTAAGACTTTTTTTACATAAGCAAAGTTAAGACAAGTATTTATTCTATAAAAAATATTTGTAGTTGTGTACAAGAGGCAAACTCCAAGCATACCATATGTAGCACATACTCGGATGAGTGTCCATTTTTACAATAATCCCATAAGCTTCTCAGGAAAGATCTACATGATAGCAAATACACTTTTAAAATATTGACCTATTTTTAGTTAAATACCTCAACCCCAAGTGAAGTGATAGTGAAAGACTGTACTGTGTCACAATAAAAGAAATATACTTTTACTCGTAATGGCTGAAAGGAAATATTTAAGAAAAACGCACATTTACAGAGTAGACAGGACTGTATTTCCAGATAAATTTACATTAGTTCATGAAAGTACCTCTGCATCATTAAGTTACATAAATTTGCTGATAGTAGGCTGATTCAAATCAAATTAGAAGATGATTTACCATGCAGATTTACCATACATGATTTACCAAGCAGAAAACCTCTATTTTAATAGAGAGATTTTAATCTAATCTCATTCTACTTTGCTTAGCTAACATGGCATTCATAGTTACAACCAGCATACTACATAACTTAGTTAAATTCCCCCATTTTATTTATTTTAGTCAAGGAACTACCTGCTACACTGCAAAAATCTCATAATACAAATCCTTTTTAGAGGTTTACTGAACATCAACTTAAAAGCAGTTAACAGCTTCCTTGTGGTTCTCACCACAGATTTCATCATGACCCTTTTACATCCATTTCTTCCTATGCTGATGTTATGCTTTGATACTGCTTTGCACAAGTTTTGGTTCAATTCCATCTCTCTTGATCTCTGATCTCACCATTGCATGAACAGAAGTATGAACATCCCTCTGTTCACAGCTTGAAATAGATTACTTTTTGACAGAATTTAGAATATAATGAAAAGTAACAAATAGTCATAAAATGCTACTTAAACATGCTGAATGCATAAGAGGAAAAGAGGCAAGTTCAAAGACAGTTGGGTTTTTTTCATTTCAAAACTGATGTACGAAATGAAGGACATTCTCTGTAGCACGTGACCTGAGCTGAACAGCTTCTGTTGAACCACAGCTTTTAAAGTTCTCATATGTAAATGTCCTTTCCCACCTTAATTTTATTCATGGCTTAAAAAACTAATCCTTGTTTTTCCTCTCTGAGCAAATCAGTCCTTAAGTAAAAACTAACCAAATAAGACAAATAAGGGTGGGAAAAAATATCTACGTAGTAGAAGTCTAGTCATAAACTAATTTAGCATCTAGGATCAGAGCTGCCTGAAACTGACTAAAACAATATTTTCTTTCAAAGCCTTGGCTTTTTCTACTTCAGTTATTCTAATACAGCTATGAGTTTAGGCCATATGCTGTTAAAGCTAACTTTTTGAAACCTGTTTTAATTTTTAAAATAGCTTTATTTTAATACATAGAAACGTACTTCTAAAAAATTTATGCTTCAAGTAAGTCTATACAGCTCCTTAATGTACTGTATGTCAAAAGATGAAACAAGTGTTTCATTTTTCAAAGCTTTTTAGATTTCTAAGGCCTTCTGATCAATAAAAAGATAGATGTTCTTTTAAGAAAACAAAACATTGCATCAGCTGTAAGAACTGTGCAATCAATAGGTCCTAGGAAGTATTTCGCAATCCACTTGTTGATGTTTTCAAGTGCTGATAAGATATTAGTGTTTCCTCATCTTTACAGTATCAGCCCTGTAATCTCCTGCAACATTTTGTATAACCAGATATTATTTGCAAAACAGCCTTACATTTCCTAAGTAGTTCAAATGTGACTCTTCAATTTTAAGCTTGGCCTTCCAAGCAAAGGTGCTAAAATGAGCCAAAAATTGTGAGAGTCACACTGCAATTACTTTGTGAGAATTTTAGTTTAAATGCTATAAAGACATTACAACAGTTTTTAAATCATACAGCAATAACCAGAGCCACTGAATTACCTTTTCTCCACGTTTCACAGTATGGAGCTGAAGCTGGCTGATTGCTTTCTTGGTTTCTTTCCTATGTCCCTTGAATAAAGATTTTAAATATTAGTACACAAGTTAGTTTTAAGAGTTACATTTCAAAGCTTTTAAATACTTTCCATGTAGATTACTAAGTCTTCTGAACACATTTAAAGATTCATCTCTGGCTAGCCAATTTGTTTACAAAATACTTCCAGCCAGCAGATGTTGAAGAACTGCAAGTTTTGCATTCTCAGGGCACAGCAGCAAACATTATCTATAAGCATAGCGCTCTTACAATGAACTCAACCAGTGCAGAGCTACGCCAACTAAGTTGACATACATAGCCTCGTATCATGACCGTCTGCATCAAGGGCCTTCCCGCACAGGAAAATTGACACTAATTTAGGTTTTAGAGGCATCAGAGCTGAAACAACAGCTGTATAACCAGACCTTCTAGTTAGGCAAGCCCATGAGCAAGCACACCGTACGTTTTGCACAAGCTTGAGAGAAGGTGGAATCCTGCCGGGCAGTCTGCAGCTGGCCACCAGGTCAAAAGGTTGCTTGTAGCTATTAATGCTTCCCCTCAGTTAAACACTGCCTCACACATTATACAAAGCTTTGCACTGAAAGGACATATTATGCAAAGGAAGTGACAAGAAAGGCTTAACAGACATGAGACACCATACTGGACTTCTATACAGTAACAGTCCTAATTATGCTTAGAGGGGAAGCAAGAAAAGAAAGCAGTACTGTATTCCAAGACAAAATGCTAGCTACTGCTAGAAATTGAGAAACTAAACACTCCCGATGAACAGATGTTGATCTGTCTAGCAGCAACCCTCACTGATGAAATACCATAAAGGAATAAAAAAAAAAGTAATGGCAGCTTTTCTCTGTAATAATTACAATGACTTATACAATTTCACAAACTTACAGTATTGAAAATTGGGATTTTTTTTTTTTCGGTGTTAAAAAGAATTAGTCTGAAAGTTCTCTCAGAAATGGGCAGACAACCAGCAGCAGCAGTCTATTCCACCTTCTGTATCAGCTCAGGGTTTTCTGCACAGTCCTGTTTCATCTTCAGTAGTAAGGAGGTCTTCCAGAGATTTACTGCTTAACTGACGTTAGAATAAATCTTAAGATACCTGTCTTCTCCTTCACTTAGCAGCTACACAATAATTTGCTTTAAAGCCTGGCATACTTAACTCCCAAGTTTTAATTATACTGGAGTCAATAAGCCAAGCAAAATAAAATTTGGATTAGAAAAGTGGTTTTTTGTTTCCAAAATTCTTTTAAGACTTCTAATGATATATCTTGACCAAGATATTCACAACATTTTCAAACTTTGCATAGTTTCATATATTTTTGTTTTCAATGGCTCTTTTAAAAGAAGGAGAATTGAGGAAAGCGGCATAACCTTCTAATGCTACACAATTTCATTTAAGAAGCATTTAGATGACAAGCCAATGGCAAAATCTATTAAGAGTTTGTGGTACATATATCTGGGAAACATCACATTCAACCTACTTAAAACAACTTAAAAAGCATTTGAACTTCCCTTAGCATGAACTATCCTAAAGCCAACAGAACTGGAAGAAGCAACTTTCTTCATCAACAACTGTTACAGCACAAAACCAAATCCCTTTTTCTATAAATACTTCCCCAAAATTTTGTTTTCTTGAAAGTATTCTCAGAATGTAAATTCTAAGACTTAAAGCTCAGTAAAAAATACTCTAGGGAACCAACATTTCCAGTAGACCAAAAGTTTAACCAATACAGAAGTCCCATGTGTTATCCTCAGTAAGAGAAATTAAATATTTTCCTAGAAGAGTCCTCTAAGTTCTAATCAGAGCTCAAACTCCTGAAGGCAAACAAAAATTCCCTTCCCTCCTCCCCCAAAGCTAGAATCTACATGTTCAAACAGAAGGCAGGGGAAGTCCACATGATAAGCAGTCATTTGAAACTTTTTTTTTTGTTCTGAACTGAGGATAAAAAAACCCAGAGAACTGCTTGCAAAGAAAAACAAGTGCAACTTTCTTTTAAACTGTTAGTAGAGAACTGTGGTAGAGCTGCTGATGACCATGGAGGGAACCTAACCTATTTGCAAGAGTTGAAAAGCACAGGGAAGTGCCATCCTAAGATATTTTAAAAACTCAGCTGGACTAGGTCTTCAACAACTCCAGGTAAGTTGCTCTCTTGAGGGCAGGGATCTGAACCAGATAGCCTCCAGAGGTCCCTTCCAACCTAAATTATTCTATGATGAAGTACTTCCCTCAGAGGAAAAAAGTAAAGCTGACTCTTTTTTAACCTAGCAAAGAAGAACATGGATTTGGAATGGGCAAATTAAGGAGCAAAAGTTATTCCTTCCTGATCTTCTCAGTACTCCCACCACTCTCAGCGTTTCAGATAGTCCAAAAGAGCTGAATCTCACCACACATGCTCCTTCTAGTCTGCTGCCATTCGGTACTCTATAGTGGAGTAGTAGGATTAGAAGTATCAAAAGCAGTTTTCATAAAGCTTTAGAACCAAATTTTAGCCCTAATTAGTTGTGGGTCTTAAAAAAATTACCGTGGTCCCTCTCCATTAGAAAAAAACACCTGGTTAGGGAAATGAGTACTTTCAGAATGAAAATTACTGAAGAATGAAAATAATTTTTTATGTCAAAAGGAAGGAAGCTAATTTAGGTGACAAATCACACAAGAAGCTGTCTTTACCCAGTTGTTGACAAGTGGCTAAATACATTTCCCACGACTTCATACGGGTATCTAATAATTACAACTAGCCAAACTTGTAATGCCAATTAGCACACTGCTTATTAACCTCACTAACCATTACTAAGTAGCATTCACAGCTAGTAAAGTAGCAAGAAGCCACAGATCTTCAAGAATGCTTCAATAAACAAGCAAAGTTAGGCAACTGATTTGACATGAGAAGATGGTAAATACTCTAAAGCATCATCATCATCTCCAATTACCTGGTTTCCAAACTGTGATCCTGTATACAGGAAACGTTGTATATAGTAAAATATGAGCCAAGCAAGCGATATAATCATCATGGTGATGAAGGCGATGGCTACAAACACAACCGACTGACCACTAATATATTCCTGCACATGTCGCGTGCCAACAACAATAGTCATTTTTACTGGAATCCCCCTTCGTACTGGCTCCAATATCTCTATTCCTTTTGGATAGCCAACCATTATCACCACTGTATTTCCTGTTCCTGTTGGAGGGGGAAGAAGAAAAAAAAAGTCAGTCATCACAGTAAAAATTTAGGCATTCTGGCTTGATGGTAATTTGGGCCTCTTCAGTTAAGATCAGTGAGCAAAGTTATAGGAAAACCTCTGAGTTTTTTTTCAGGCATAGCAATCTTGATACAAAGTTTACTAGTAAAGAACCCTTTATTTACTTTATGAAACTCTCAAACACAAGATAAACTTCAACAGATGCATCTTTACTGTTCAAGGTCCTATACTCCTCATTCCACACAGTGAGGTGGGATGTGGATGCCATGCAAAAAAACCAGGCAACTTATACACATCTCATCTTGAAGTTGCTGAAGTTCTAAATGCAACTCAGGAACAGCTGGTCTTCTATTTCTCAATGTGGGAATTCTAGCTGCAGCTGGAGACAGTATGTGAATACCATGGAGAGACACATTCAATTAAATTTGAATCTGAATCCATAGCACAATTACACTGGATATGTGAACAAAAAGAGAAAAAATATTCAGATATTTAATGCTAAATTACATTAAACATTTAAATACTTTAAGATTCTTCAATATTAAATATTAAAATTGTAAAGAGACTTCACAACAAAGACGTGCCAAGAAATACTTTGGGACTCTTTTGGGAGCATGGAACCAAAGGATTTTTCTATTATATTAGAACTCAAAAGCACTCAATCCATATGAAAAAGCACCTAGTTAAAAAAAAAAACCAACAACAAACATCAACCTTTAAGCACCATACTGCCACCAAAAATGGTAAGATACTGTCAAGACCCACTAGCAGAAACCAAAGATCCTCTGTGACTAGAGTTTTACTCCATTTTGTCTGGAAGCATCTCCAGTATTGTGTCAGAAACATCCAAAGTAAGTATTACAAAATAAATCACAAACAAATGTACTTGTTAAAAATGTCACCTCTACACTAGTCTATGATATTTTTATTTGAATAGTTCTTACTTTGTGCGTACCAATGCCGCTACACACCCTTGGTAAGTCATGGCTTTATAGCTTACTTTGCACTCCTACCTCTGAGAAAAAGTGAAACTAAGCTTGATTCACAGAGAAAGTAGAGGAAGAAGAAAGAAGAGAGGGGTTTTCCTAGCCAGAAAGCTAAAGCTGTAATGTCACAGCTACCTTTTTAGATTCACAAGATTACCTACCTGCAACGAGACCTCCCACTGAAGACTTAAAGCCTTTTTCCCTCCCGGCTGTGTTAGATTCACTGCTGAGAAGCTATGTCAAAAGAAATGTTTGCCTAATTCATAACATTACATCAAGTGGGGATTTTCAAAACTCAAAGCAACATTCCGGACTCACCCACCTCTCTGCCTACTAAGACAGAGTTATTTGCCTGAAATATTTAAAACAAACTCTTTTAGTTGAGACTGTTCTGGCTGTAACGCCTCATCAACCTTGCCATGCCGCTACCATGCCAAGGGGAATTTGCAGAAGTTTCACTTCTGTATAATAGCAGCTCCTCCCTCCATAAGGTGCAGACCGTCTGCTGTGGATGAAACACAATTCAAGTTCCAGTTATTAGTTGAATAACCCTCCTATCTCAATGCCAGTTACTCTTTTTCAGCGTCGCCTTATGCAACCATCCCACTTCTGGTCACCTACTGTAAGAACCATTATACCCGTCTGCCAGATCCAGGCCCAGCAAGAGAGCAGATTTTCCAAATAGGCTATGTTTCTGGAAGTTTTGAAGGTGGTGCAGAGAGACAAAGAAAAAGATACTACAGGGGAAAGGCCCTACTTGTACTCTCCTCAGGCACCCCACTCAGCTCGCCAGCAGCACCCACCCAGCTCCCAGCACACGTTGCTTTGCCTGGTGGGTGCATTAGGAGACACAAAGCAGCGAAGCTTAAGAGCAACAGGACAAACCCACAAGCAACTAGGCTCCGCTGATTAATTCTACTCACCAACAACGTACCGATCCACATGATACCACAAGTCCAAGCATACTAGGAATTGGTTAATTAATATTATTCTCCTCTCTGAACCAGCATGAAAGCATTACCAGAGAGACTCATGAATCTCGTAGAGAAGAGAGTGTGTCAAACGCTCCTTGCTTTCTGACCCTGCACAACCCCACAGGGAGTTAACAAGAAAAGAACGTATGAAGGTAGAAATTTATCTCACATTGTTGAGAACTGTTATCCACATACCTAAATCAGGAGATTAGTCCTTAGTCAACTGTAAGAGTTAGAAATAACAGGAGGGGTGCCTAAGGATGGCTAGTGAACGGTACAGGAGTGCTGGAAAGATTTATGTGGTTTCCTTCAGGCTTGGGGAAGAAAAGAAAGATTCAAGAGTAGAGGCAGCCTGGATTTTTCATTCAACAAAATCCTCAATCCCAAAATCTTGAGTCAGTTTAATCCTGCTATCTAGTTCTCTGCCTGATTTCTAACAAAGAAGTATTTAAAAGCCTCACAACAATCAGTAATGCCTTTCTCTGTTTTGTCACTAGCATGTCCAACTATCAGCCAGTTATTTCCTTGAAATGGAAGTCAGGATACTTTGTGCAATGGCTGCTAGACACTGTGACACCTTCTAGTTTTAGAACCAACACAAGTATGCCATAAATTTTAAATAAATGCCCATTAAAAGCATTTTAACAGTTTTGAAGACTTGGTGATGAACCTGCCATTAAAAATACATGCAACTAAACACGATGGCCTTGAAGGTCATGAGACAGAAGGAGGGGAAGAAAAAAAAAATAATTGTGATCCACCATTACAAAAGGAACAAGAGCAGTCTCAGAGAAGCAGTTGCCCTGAGCAGCCTGTAAAACTAAGGGCTTTAACTCATTCCTCACTAATTTTAGACTTCTGTTCTGAAACACATTATTCAAAGACTGAAATGCTGTTGAGTCATTCCATCAGCTTCTTCAACTGCAACACAACTCGGAGACCTCAAATCACAAATGTCACACACATGTATCTATTGAGAGCATGTTTTGTTGGCTTTACCTTTCTATAACTTTCTAATTTTGCAATAAATAACCACATTTTTACTCTGCTGGAGTAAACTTGTTTTCTTTTCCAGGTTTGATTGATGCTTCAGTGGAATCAGGTAGATTTGAAATCTGGTATGTGCTTTTTTTTTTTTTTAACATTATCATCGAAATAAAGCAGTGAGAGCTGGCAGATCCTTAGGATACAAGGAAAGGAGGGCAAATTTGGAACTCTGAAGATGAAGGTATGTTTCCTGCCAGTGTGCCAAGGTCAGTTTTATTGCTAGTATTGCTAGTCTTCTCTTGCAAAAGGAAAATGGCATTCTCCTGATGAGGAAAAAGTAGTACAGATACAGATCTTGATTTCCAGGCACCCCAAACTGTCACATCTATTCCCATTCATGCCTACAGATAGCAAAGATAATTTTCTATCATCCGGAAACCAACTGCAGACATACTCTAGTTTTTGTCCTCATGAGAAACACCAGAAAGCTCCCAGAGTTTGAGCACCTTGGTAAAAATGTTTGAGGTCAGTCCTTGGATCTATTTAAGCGCAGGCATCTTGCCAATATTGCCACAATTAACACTGAATGTTTTCTTTAGCTCCTGGTCCAAACAAATGTCTCTGATCTTTACCAAACACGTAACAGTACACTAACTAATCCAATGACAAGCTTTGTCTCGACCATCTACCCCAACCTCATCTCACCAAATCCCTGGTGCGTGTTGTGTTTTCACCTGCCTCAAGAAGAAGGATGCATAACCAGAAGAGTCAAGTAGTCAAGCACTCAACACTGGTACACATTCCTCTTTCCACATGGGTTTCCAACACGTGTGCACTCTTACATATAAAATAGGTATAAGCATTTTGACATTACTCCTGCTCTCCAGAACAACATAGCAGCTCAACATCATACAGTCACTGCCTGAGTTATGCAAGCCACTGATTTCCGTTCTGTTCTTTCAGTAGTACAGAAGCTTTCAGTAGAAAGCATCAGTAATACAGAAGTTATGCACCACTTGAGAATCCTGAGTAGTGCAGAAAGCAATGTAGCAAAGAGTTGAAGTACATGCCAAAATAACCCTAACTCTGCCGTTTTGGAGTGAGGACAAGCTTTTAAAATCCTGAGTACAAAGTCGTTCACATCTGTTTTGTTCAATATACCTGCATAAAAAAACATGACAATGAACAGAAGAACTAGTTGGGTGTATTTTGGCAAAGCTGCACCAAATCAAAGACCATTTTCTTTACATAGCCAAAGTCATATACTCAAGCTTTCCTTAAACCCACAAGCCATGCATCAAAGCTCCACTCCAGATCTATATGGCCAGTCCCTCTTCCTCCACAACATCGCACGGCTGTCAAGCACAATCATATGTTATTCCATAGTCTTCAAGGTATCAAACTTACGTTCTGATCAGGATCACCAAATGCTAGCTTGAGAGGGGATTCAGAGATGGCTGGATGCCCAGCATGAAGTATAACACAAAAATAGAGAATCAGAAGACCCTTTTTTCTTTCCACTGCAATATACCTCTGCCTCCCCCTAATTTCTCGACCAGCACTGAGCCTCTAACTCTCCTTAGTCTGCTCTCCACAATACTCCATACCTTGCTTCTCCAGACTGCTGTCAAACCCGCTCCCAGGTAATATTTACATACAATATTTATTTTGGTTTTGGAAAGGAATTTGAAGCCTCTGTATTATATTAAGTTTACCACTACCACCAAAAATGAACAGAATTAAGACTTCCTGCAAAGTCTATATTCCTGTAAAACTGAAGTTTCAGTTTATACTATTCAGATTCCATAACTGAAGTACAACTCCTTGAGTCATTCAGGTAAAATGACTATCTTCCACTGGAAAAAATCTCCTCAGCCACATGTGAAGTTGTTTCACTATTACTTCCCTCAAGGAGGGAAATCATCCAGCATTTTGAACAACGTAATCCAGGCAGAGAGCAAAGGCCTGAAAAACATGAGACACGCCAATAGAGTCATATTTGAAGAACCTTCTTCTGGAAGGAGGGACAGG